GGCGGCGGAGGGCGTCCCTGGCCCGGCCCCCTGGGCCCCTGCGCTGGCCGAGGTCCGGGCCCTGGGCTCTGGTCGCGCCCCCCCCCCCCGTGCTTCCATGCTCGGAGGGCGGACGGGAGGGGCGCGGGGAGGCCCGCGGGAGTGGGTGTGGACGAGCATGACGTAATCCTTGGTGAACTCAGTGTGAGGCCGTCACCAGATGACTTCCATCTGGGCTGAGCCGGGCCTGCGGAGGGGGTGGGCGGCCAGGCATGGGCCCGCGTCCTGGGCCCCCGTGCGACGTTCTGTGGAGGAGGGGAGGGTGCTGAGTCTCCCCGCAAAGGGAAGGGGAGGCCGAGAGGAGCAGCAGGGGGGCGGGGGGGGGGGACTTGCCTGGGCCTGGGGACCTGGGGACTTGGGGGAGAGAGACACTTCTATTAGAAAGAAGCGCTGGGGGATCCCTGGGTGGCGCAGCGGCTTGGCGCCTGCCTTTGGCCCAGGGCGCGATCCTGGAGACCCGGGATCGAGTCCCACGTCGGGCTCCCGGTGCATGGAGCCTGCTTCTCCCTCTGCCTGTGTCTCTGCCTCTCTCTCTCTCTCTCTCTCTCTCTCTCTCTCTGACTATCATAAATAAATAAAAAAATAGAAAGAAGCCCTGGGGGATCCCGGCGGGCTCAGTCCGTGGAGCTTGCGACTCTTGATCTCCGGGTCGTAGGTTTGAGCCCCATGTGGGGTGTAGAGATTACTCAAAAAAAATAAGATCTCTTATGGGGTCTGTAGCCATGCTCCTTGCACCGGCCCCCTTCCGTTAGTCTTCCGACAGCCACGCCAAGGTATTAGGGTGCTCTGAATATTCTTAGAAGGTGCCGTTTTTGAAGGGGTGCTCACGGGCCACGCCTTTCCCCCCTGGCTTCTCTCATGCTCCCCACCCAGCTGGACTCCTCCTTGGAACCCCCTTCATGCTTCACCCAGGCGTGGGCAACGCTGGAGGCTGGCTCTGAATTAAAGCTGATCACAGAGCAAATAAATGTCTCAACCAAACGGGGTTTAGTGGTGGAGAGGCCTATGAGGGATTTGCTTCACTGCACGTAGGATGAGGACGATGATTTGGGGACGTTGACTGGAGCTCGAAGTATTACTTTAGGTTTATTTGTGTACCTCCTAACTTTTAGGTAGCAACTTCCTTCTTATGTTGGAGATGTTTTTAGTCTGACGAAGTGAAATGAGAGACGATGAGACCAGCCTGCACATGCTTCTGGAAGTGTGCTCGCATCCTCTATCTCACTCAAGGCCGGCTATGCTCTTCTCCATTTTCTTTATAAAGATCCTGGGATAGATTCAAGAACTCGCTCAAGAGGGCACAGCTAGTGAACAACCGAACTGGGTCTGGAACCAAGGGCTCCGGTTCCAATGGTGACCCCCTTGTGGTTCTTCTGTTTTCCCCAATTTGAGGAGGGAGCATATGCGTACAGTAAGACGGGCAGGGGCAGCAGGGGTGACCATGCCCGGAGTCTGGGAGCGGGTGAGCGCCCCCCCCCTTAGCTCTGGAGCTCTGCGACAGGTGTCCCTAGAGCAGCTGTGACCCAAGGCAGCAGAGGAAAAGCCTCCCAGTTGTCCATTTAGCTGCAGATCTCTTGTGGGGTCAGAGTGAATGCTGCTGACCCTACTTCTTTATTGTGGTAAAATGTACATAACCGAAAGTTTCCCGCCATGTGTAAGCTCTGCGTGTGGCATTAAGGACGTGCACACTCGGGACACCTGGGTGGCTGAGCGGTTGAGCGTCTGCCTTTGGCTCAGGGCCTGATCCCAGGGTTCTGGGATCGAGTCCCACGTTGGGCTCCCTGCATGGAGCCTGCTTCTCCCTCTGCCTGTGTCTCTGCCTCTCTCTCTCTCTGTTTCTCCCATGAATTAAAACAACAACAACAACAAAAAAAAACAAAAACAAAAACAAAAAAAGGACGTGCACACTGTTGCGCAGCCATCATCACTCCCCGTCTTCAAAGACTTTTTCATCTTCCCAAACTGCAACTCCACACCCTCTAAAGCCATAACTCCCATCCCCCCAACCCCTGGCAACCGTTATTCTCCTTTCTATCTCTGGGAGCTTGACCACTCGAGGTGCATCATGTAAGTGGGAATCATGCGGTATTTGCCCTTTGCTCTCCACCTTACACTGCCTTATTGGTCACAGGACGGTCCCTTTCAGCTACGACAGAGGTGCAGGTTAGCAGCGCTCCACGCCCACAGAAGAGTAGGGGAACAAAAACCAGAGAACACAACAGGGAGAGACAGAACCGGAGTGCTTCGGGGTAGATTTCTTGACTGTCAGGGGTACCAGATGTAAGGGGGCGGTGGTGGCGGGTGGATGGGAAGAAAGTGTCACATGGAAAACAGTGCTGCGCTTTACCGTCCCAGGGGAGGGGTAGCTCCCTTCTGGAGGAGGTGCCTGCCTCTTTTTTGAGGCTGACGCTCTGATGGGCCCTGATGGGGAAGCCACTCCAGTGAGGGGAGGGTGGCCCTCTGGCCAGGCTGAAGGCAAGACAAATGGTTCTGCAGTAGACACCCACGGGGACTTGGAGGTGGATAGAAGGGTCTGGAGGAGAAGAGAGAGGCTGGAGGAGACGGAGTAGTTGGGACTTAGGACAGAGTGAGGAATATTTCGGGGCAGGGGAAAGGTTGATGAAGTTGCAGGATAGGAAGATCTCCTCGTGGATTCCAATGTGCTTACTGTGGTCCCCCTCCATTACCCCAAACTTTGAGTGTCTGCTTCTGCGTCCATAAGCCTTCTGGGGGTCCAGGGGTAGCTGAGGGGGTCAGGAAGGGAGCAAGGGGGTGGTGCCTGAGGGAGGGAGGGACAGTGGCTGCAGGAGGTGAGATGCAGATGAAGGGAGGAAGGAAAGCAGGGAATCCAAGCCAGAGGTCCCCAGAGGAAGCACAAGCCCTCTGTGAATCCCGGGCACAGAGATGGTGGTAGCAGCCGGAGTAGGACTGCGAGGTTGAGGGGACACAATTATGGGGTCCCTACTATTAGTGGGGTGGGGCCCAAGTAATTTTCTTGAATATTAGGTGGCAGGCAGTCCAGGTAGACAGCCCGAAGGAAGGCATGGTTGTGGATCTCATCTTCTTGGGGGACCTGGTGGCAAGATCTAGCCAGGTCCCAGCTGGGTAATTTGGGAATTACCCCAGGTAATTCTCTGGGGTCCCCTCAGCTCAACTCACTGCCTCTGGGGTTTCTGTACTCATGGGGAAGGGTACCACTTTTTGAGAGGTGGTGATGGAACTAGAACCGAAGCCAAGCCCAGAATACCTCTTGAGCTTTCAAAACACCATTCTCTTTCAAAATCGTCTGGAGATTTTGGGGCTAGCATCGGCTCCGATGGAGATGGAGGCTTCTCGGGCCTCCCAGCCAGAGGAGCCCAGCGGGAGGGCCGGTTGCTCCCACCCACAGGCCCCAGAGAAGCCTGGCATGGAAAGGGAGCCTCATGCTGCCGGGAAGCCCAGAGTTCGCCTGCTGGGTCCTGGGCCGAGTGTGGGCTGGGGTGGAGCCCTGCCTGGAACTAGTGATGCACCCCGAGAGCCCGGGACCAGCCCGCGCGGGTGGCGGTGGGGCCGACCGAGGACACTTCCCTCTGGTCCTCTCCAGTCTTGGCCCAGGGAACTGAGGCTCAGGGCTGGTCTGGCTGGACCTCATTTCTGTCCCAGCCCAGTAACCCTTCATCAGTGGGTCCCGGGGAAACGGGCCTGGCTTGCCTCCCATTTGAGGAACGTTTGCCAAATGTGTTACAAGCCACTAAAAGCTTGTAAACTAGGGTGCAGGCTGCCACGGGGCCTGGGCTGGCCAGAGGATATGCTCTTTAGAAGTTCCAGAAGCTCCCTGCCCATTGGGAGGGAGGAATGTCCCTACAGAGTCCCAGGCGGGTCTGTGCTGGGCCCGGGCCAGCTTTCCCTCTGGCGGGCCCCTCTGCTCCGGGGGAGCTGTGTGTTCCCTTCTCTGGCAGCTTGGGAAAGACTAGGGGCCCTTTCAGGGAAAGGAGAAAGAGGAAACGGGCCTGAAAAAGCTGCAGTGAAAGCCTAATTCTGAGCTTCAGCTGCAGACTCAGGCCTGGGAGTACAAATGCATTTTCTACTCAGGAGAACGGGGAGTGTTCGGAAAGGTTGTTTGGGGGAACTAGAGCCCCAGAGCTTGGGTGCTGGAGGATCTCAGACACCAGCTAGTATAGCCTCCCCCAGTGGCCCCCCCATTTTACTGGAAGGCTAATCTGAAACAGAATGGAATTTGGCAGGGGCTGGGATGCCTTTTCTCTTCTGAGGCCCTGTTTCCTGAAAGAGTGTCCAGAGGAGCTGATTCCCCCCTTCCCCGTGGCACTCCTCAGGGCCTTTTTAAGAAAACCCAGAGGTCTGATCCGGCTTCTCTGAAAGTAACAGGGTTTGTGGCTTCCAGGGGGTTTTCGGTTTAGAGCCATAATTTCTGTTTGTTCATCTGACACGTTCGTGCACTGCAGGCTTGTTGCCAGGTTTCCCCTCGCACGTTATCAGGCCGTGCTTGTGCGTGGACGAGGGGAAGCCAGGAACAGCACAACTCAGGAAGGGACCGTACTAGGGCAGGGGCTGCTGGGGCCTGGGAGGGGGTTGGGAGGTCGAGGTCCTCAGGCCTGTGGTTGGGGGTGAACCGGGAGCCTCCTGGCCCAGAGTCCCCGATGGGCATCTGCACCGGCGGGCGGCAGAGGGCTCAGGCTCCTGCAGGAGCTGAGAGGCTGCCTCAGGAAGAAGCCACCTGGGCTGGCCAGGGAGGCTCCGAGAATGCGCAGGCCCCGGGCTCTGGAAGCTTCGGGAAGGGCCGACTGAGAGGGGGGCAGCCGGCCCCGAGCAGAAAAAGGGCAAAGGGAGACAGAGAAAGCAAGTGGCACTGAGTGAGGTGGGGCCTGAACTAAATTCTAAATTTTGGGAGCGGCCCGGGAGGCTGCCAACTTTGATCTCATTTTCTGGACGGGCCTTCAGTTCCTTCTCATCCCCACCACCCAGTCACCAGAGAGTCAGCGCCTCCCGACAGCAGCAGCTCTTGGCCAACTCGGGAGGCACACGCAGCTGGACGTGGGGGCACCCTGAGCTGGGTGCGGGCGGGGGAAGGGCCACAGTGATGCTGGGCGAGGAGGGGAAGGCCTTGGGCGGGGGGCTGGGGTCTGTCCTGTCCCCACGGGGTCTCCCTTGGCCAGCACCCCCCCAGGCCCAAGGCGCTCACTGAATAACTGAACTCCTGCAGTCTCTTCTCTTGAATCCTCAAGTAACCTTGTATTTTTCTTCTTCGGGATTGGAAGACTAACAAGGATGTTTGCCTCCCTTGTGCTTTCTCCTTCAGGAAGGACCTTCTTGCTGCTGCTGTGACCGGGGCACTGAGGCACTGTTCTGGAAGGTGCCTCGGCATAAAGACCCTCCATCTGGGGAGGAAGGGAGACGGGAGGAGGGCCAGGGTGCTCTCTCGGGCCTGGCTCTGGGATGCCCAGCCCAGGTGGCCGTGGCCGGGGTGGCAGCGAGAGGAGGCAGCCTCAGCCGTGCTGTGGTTTTCCTCCGTGTGACAGCACGACCACGACGCTCATGCCCCAGCCCAGCCGATGACCGACGAGGAAAATAAAATGGAATTTAAACCTCATCTCGGACAGGGTTTCAGAGCCGCCGTCTTCCTGGTTATGGAAACGGGGGCTGCACTGAGGGGGACCTCGGCTCTCCCCCAGAAGGCCCCCCTTCTCCCGGGCTTGGTTTTGGAGGTGAGCACCTCCTGGGGGCTTGTGTGGCCTTCGGGAGCCGGGATGGCTGCCGTGCCCCCCTCCCCAGGAGGCCTGGACGTTTCCTCTCCTTCAGAAGCTGTCGGCGTTACCCCGCGTGGGTGTGGGCCCGGGCCCTTGTATCTCAAGGATCTGTGCCTGTCCTTGGGGCTTCCGAGTCTTGTGGTTCCTTTCCTTGGCCCTGAAGAGGCCACGTGGGGTCCCCCAAGCTAGGTCCCCGGGGCTACCCTGGCGGCTCTCAGACACGCCAGATTCCCATCCTGCGTCCCCAACAAATTATGTCTCAAATCGCCCTCCGCCCCCCTGGCCCCCGGGGCCCCCTGCTCCCGCTCGGGTGTTCCGGGGACGCAAGGCCAGCCGTGGGCCCCCGCCCCCGTTGGGGGGAGGCCTCAGTTTCTCCCTGCACACTTCGGAGGCGGGGGGAGGTGGAGGGGGGGCGCGGGGGGGCGCGGAGGGGCGGGAAGGGCGGGAGGGGCCGCGGGCGCCGGGACGGAGGCGGCCGGGAGCCCCGCGGCCGGGCCCCTGGGGAGGGGCTGGAGCGACGCGGGGAGGGGGCCGGGGAGCAGGCGGCGTTCCCGCAAATCACATGATTTTCCCGCTTATATAAATCACAGCTTGTTTTTCTCCCGGCCGCGGACTTAAAGGTGCCGCGTCTTCTTTCTGTCCCCGGGGCGGGCCGAGCTGCGCCGGGTGCTTTCGCCCTCGAGGGGGCGGGCTCGCGGCTTAGGGGCCCCTCCCCGCAGCGACCCCGGGATGTGTCGCGGTGGGGGAAACCCGGGAAGGGCCCGGCCGTCCGATCAGCCCCGAGCCGGCGGGCCGACCCCCCCCCCCCGCTCCTCCCGGGGGCAGCGGCCCCCTCGCGGCCCCGAGGCCCCTGCCTGCCCGTCGTCAGCCCCGGCGGCTCGAGGTCAAAGTGGGAGACAGCAGGTCGGCACAGGTGTGCAGCGCCCAGGGCCTCCCGCCCGTCGGGAGACGCCGCGACCTGCTGGCCTCCGCCTTCAGGGGCTAATACGGCGGGGCGACGGGTAGGGACCCGGGGAGGGCGAGGGGCCTGGTCCGTCTCCCGGCGGGCTCCGGGCGGCCGGCGCGGGTGAGGAGTCCTGCGGGCTGCGGGTGGGACAGCGCGGCGGGGAGGAGGCGGGCGGCGGGCACGGGGGCGCCGGGCTGTCGTGCCGCCAAGCGACGACCTGGGCACCTGCGCAGGGCGGGGAGCGGCCCGAGGGGTCAGCCGCGGGCACGGGGGGTGGGAGAGCGGGCAGCCGGGGACCGCGCGGGGGGCGGGCAGGCGGGGCGCGGCCCCCGGGGGGGGTGGGCAGGGCGGGCCCCCGGGGGGAGGCGGGCAGGGCGGGCCCCCGGGGGGAGGTGGGCAGGCGGGGCGGGGCGGGGCCCCCGGGGGGGGTGGGCAGGGGGGGCGGGGCCCCCGGGAGGAGGCGGGCAGGCGGGGCGGGGCCCCCGGGGGGGTGGGCAGGGCGGGCCCCCCGGGGGGAGGCGGGCAGGTGAGGTGGGGCCCCCGGGGGGGAGGCGGGCAGGCGGGGCGGGGCCCCCGGGGGGAGGCGGGCAGGCGGGGCGGGGCCCCCGGGGGGGGGTGGGCAGGGCGGGCCCCCGGGAGGAGGTGGGCAGTCGGGGCGGGGCCCCCGGGGGGGTGGGCAGGGCGGGCCCCCGGGGGGAGGCGGGCAGGTGAGGTGGGGCCCCCGGGGGGAGGCGGGCAGGCGGGGCGGGGCCCCGGGGGGGCGGGCAGGTGGGGCGGGGCCCCGGGGGGAGGCGGGCAGGCGGGGTGGGGCGGGGTGGGGTGGGCCCCCGGGGGTGCGGGGCACGGGGCGGTCCCGGCGGAGCGGGAGCACCCACCGAGCCAGCGGGAGGTCTCCGCGGGCCGCGGCCGAGGCTCGGAGAAAAAGTAGAAACGGAAAGTGAGGGGATCTCCGCGGGCCGCGGCCGAGGCTCGGAGAAAAAGTAGAAACGGAAAGTGAGGGGAGGAGGTCCTTAGAAGGGGCGGATAAAGCGGTGGCCGTGTATTCGGGGGAGAGAAGTGACGAAAAGGGCTGGCCCTTGGGCCGGGGGCGGGGCGAGGGGGACGGGGTGCCGGGGCGGGGGGCGAGGCCCTCTCGGGGCCGGTTCGGGAGCAGGTGGGCCCCGCAGTGCCCCGCGCCCGAGCTCCGCATCCGTGACCGCGGACGCCGCCGCCTGCGCCGGGTCCTCCCGGAGGGGAAGCGCGGGGAGCGCGGGGCCGCGGTGCTTGGCCCGGGCAGGTGCGTCCCCTCCTTCCCTCCTCGCCGCCTCCCTCATTTCCTTAGGTGGCAGGCACCTGAGCAGAGTCATTTGCTCTTCAAAAATGACGACTGGGCTGTCGTTGCTGTTGTTTTTCTTCTTACCCCCCTTCAGCCCCCCCCCCCACGTTCTTTCCTTGTTCTGCCGCTGCTGCTGCTTCTCCTTTTCCTCCTAAAAGAAACCTGCAGGTCTTGCTTGCATGACTAATTATTTGAACCGGATATACCCTCCATTAATAGAGGAAGGAAATAATAAATTTGTTTTCTAAGGGCCTCTTAGCTGAAGATGGCTATTACCTGACTTGATCATTCCAGCAGCCTGGAAGGTTCCGGAGGGCAGGTATTTATGAGGCCCTTCCCCACCCCTATAGCTGATGAAAATAGAAGAATGGTTGTAAAAAGTTTTGTTATGTGGGAGAACCACCTGGCCACCAGTACCGTCTGGGTCAAAGATTTCCAAACTTTTCTTTTTAGCTTCTTATTTTTGGAAATAGATTTTACCTGACAGTCAAATAAAATAGACACAAAACACAGAGTCCTGGTTTCAGTGGACTGGGGGAGGTTCTGAGGCTCCATTGCCTGGCTTGGCTCCCACTCCCGGCCCCCAGGGCAGCTGGGGAAATGGCACTTTGCTTCTGGGACAACCCAGAAGCACTCAGAGAATTTTTTACGCTCAGCTTCTTTTCCTTTTCAGCCACAGACTTCCTGACTTCAGAGGCCAGGCTGGAGCCCAAGAAAGCTCTGTGGACCCCGGGCGGAGCTCATCTCTGGTGGTGATGCCAGCAGGGCGGCTGTGCCCGAGCGTTAGCGGCCGGGCTTGTGGACCCGCTGAGCGGGACCAGTGCCGCTCCGAGGCCGAGACAGTGTCCCCAAGGCTCGGGAACTACCTTGGCTGGGGTGTGCTGGCCTGCTCAGCCAATGTGCTTCCTTTTTGAACGTGTTTCTTGAAAAACAAGCTTTTTGATGTTAAAAAAAAAAACTGTGATTTTTAGAATGTTGATTTGAGATAAAGCAAAGAAGGTGACATGCTCTGCAGATAGTTACAGAAAGCTGTGAAAGAACCACAAATAATTTTCTCTAACTGCAGCACTAATTGTCCTGTACAAGGCAGCCACCATTAGGATTCATTTGAGTGTTGTCAGATTCCCCAAAAGATAAGCATTAAAAAGGATTAAAATAATTTCATATGACTTTTGCTGTGAAAATAAAATCTCGGGAGGGGGATCCCTGGGTGGCGCAGCGGTTTGGCGCCTGCCTTTGGCCCAGGGCGCGATCCTGGAGACCCGGGATCGAATCCCACGTCGGGCTCCCAGTGCATGGAGCCTGCTTCTCCTTCTGCCTATGTCTCTGCCTCTCTCTCTTTCTCTCTGACTATCATAAATAAATAAAAAAATTAAAAAAAGAAGCATTAAAAAAAAAAATCTCGGGAGGTTCCCTGGGTGGCTCAGCAGTTTGGCGCCTGCCTTTGGCCCACAGCGTAATCCTGGGATCGGTCCCGAGTTGGGTTCCCTGCATGGAGCCTGCTTCTCTCTCTGTCTCTCTCTTTCTGTATCTCTCATGAATAAATAAAGAAAATCTCGGTAAACCAGCATCCTAATTTTATTCTATTTTTTGAATTTTTTTCCACCAATTTACCTATTTATAGAGGTAATACACACTAGTGGTAGAAATAAAGATGCAAATCATTCTGAAGGGTATAAGATGTAGAAGTTCCCTCTCATTCTCCATTCTTATTCCCCTGAGATGACTGAAGTTAATGGTTTCTTGTGACCCAGAAATGTTCTGTTATACATATATACGTGTGTGTACAGCTAATCTAATATTTTTCCACAAATGGTCTAGTCTCATGATTTTTTCCCCTTAAATATGTACCTTGACATACAGGCCTAGCTCATTCTTTATAATGATCGTCTAGCTGTGGTGTTTCATTGGGTATTGTATACAATATTCCCACATTATGTATGCTTCCATTTTCCCCCCTTATAATTTGCTACAAAGAGCATCTTTGTATATATTGTTGCACACTTGGACATAAGCTAATACACATGTAACATAAATTCCTAGCAGTGGAATCAGGGGAAAGTATGTATACATTACACTTAAAATTTTTTTTTATTCTGTACTACGTAAAACATACACAAAGAAAAAGTCATAAAGAATAAAAAGAGCCTAAAAAAACGGCACTGTCAACACAGGTAAATGCTCCTTCCTCCAACCTTGGCTGTCATCCCTCCTATCTCACTGAAAGAATGCCAGGATCCTGAACTGGTATTTACCATTTTCATGCAAAGATTTGAATGTTCTTACATTTTGCATTAATGGTACTTTTCTGTACGTATTTTTCTGAGACTTGCATCTTTTCCTCAGTATTATATTTGTGACATTCTTCCGCGTTGATACCATTTTTGAGTTAATTTATTTTCAGTACCAAATAGCTTCAAATTATATGAATATACCAAAACTTCTGTAGCTATTTTATGGTTAATGGACATTACAGGTGTATCAGTTTTTTCTGTTAACAAACAATGCTGCTATGAACATTCTTTATAATTTTTTTAAAAAATTTATTTCACAGAGAGAGAGAGAGTGTGTGTGTGCACAAG